TTGTTCTTCATTTATATTACAATCCCATAAATTATTTGTGATTTACTGATCTGCTTAGCTAAATGATGGATTCAAAAATTAAATTAGTCTTTAGGGCTTCTTCCAGCTCAGGTCCTTTTCAAAGGATTTTTTTGGAGCTCATTTACTTTGCAAACGATTTAAGCGATGATGCTGCTTTGTCAATAACACAATCATAATTATCATTGACAAGAAATCTTTACTTTTGCTAATAACATTTGTGATTGGAAATGGAAATTTTATTTATTTTTTTTGGAAGAAAAAACTGGACAAAAGTTCAATTCACCAAGTTATCTAAACAATTGATAAAAAGGAATTACCTTCTGCTCCAACAGCTGAACCAGAAGATATAACATTACAAACTTATCCTACATTCACAAAAATTGGTGACACTAATTTTTACAAGTAACTAGGCCTTTCATGAATGCAAAAGATCTTTCAGGAGTAATTCCATTTTGTCCCTCTTACTTGAATTTGATAAATTAGTAAATATCTAGATATAGTTTTACAGGGGCTGTTAAAAACGCCAGTTTGGTGTATTTTTGGGGTGAGATTTTGCATTGGGATTAGGTTAGGAAAAGTAATTAAGCAATTGCTTTGATTTAGTTAAGAGAATACTATCTGAGAGTTATGGCTATTGAAAATGGTTAGACAAACCCTAGGTCTAGATTAGGATTAGGGTAAAAGCAAAATTTTGCAAATGTTTTCCATGACATCCCCATGGCAATTGGAAGGTAACCCTCCAAATACTAGTGTACAACTTTCATTATATTTTACATGCTTGAACTCTATTTTTTATGCAACTTATGGTGCAGTGACATTTTGGCCCACATTTGGACATTTCGGCCCAGGACATTTTGGCCCATTTTATAACTTTTTGAGTTAATTATGAATTAAATACAATTAATAAGAAAAAGCAAATCAATTTTAAAATTAATAAAAAATATAATAAGTAATATAATATAGTAATTCCAGATATGTAAAATAATTATTATAAAATTCAAAATATTTTCAGAATAATGGATACCAGTTTTCCTTATTTCTGAAGTATATTTTACATTGTTTTACAATTTGCTTTTCCTGTTTTGAGAAAAAGTAGAAAGCATATTTCTTTTCTTCATTTATCATAGAAGCTTCAATAGAAATTACAACATGAATTTGAAAAACTGTTGGAAGTGTGGATTAAGATTTCATTGGACACAAAGAAAATTCAGATGCAAGTTGTGCAGACATTTTTATCATGCAAAGTGTTCAAAATGTAAGTAAACTCTCTAACTTTCTCAGGTATAATGCTATATCACCTATATATTAAGATGCAGATTATTGTCCTGATTGTCATGATGTCATCAAACAAAAATTATTTATTAAATTAAAGAAAATAGATAATTATCATCAGAGTAAAATTCATCCAGAATATGATGAAACTGTTGTTAATTTAGAATCATCAATGAATAATACAAATGAAACGAATACAAATCAGGTAATTTCATTTGTTCAAAGATATTATTATTTCACCATAAATTTTAACAGTTAAGACTTTCCTTTAACTTCAATTCACCTGAATCACCAAACAATGAAAAAGAGTTGAACTTTCCTGAAGATGGACAAGACATGGCAAAGAGAGTTGATATAAGTGATGAAACTTCATTTGAGATGGATAAGCAGTATAACATCATGGAAACAGAAAGAGATGATTTCAAAATAGTTGTAGGTGGAAGTACAAAATATAAAGACTTACTTCTACACAAAAACTGTTCATATTATGTAAAAAGAAAAACTGAAAGTTCAATCACCTGGAGATGTACTCAGAGATATGCCAAAGCTCCTTGTCCTGCATACATATTACAAAAGGGATCAAAGTTCATTGTAAAAAATGAAAACCATCTTCATAAATTGCATAAAAACATAGAAAGTGTTCTTCAATCAAGAATGGACTTAAAAGAAATGGCAACTGGTGTCAATGGAAAAACTGGTAAAAGAATAGCAGAAGATATTATCCTTAAATTTAAAGATAGTATTGAAGACTTGCCAGAACTAGAATCATTAAGAAGAAAAGCTTCTAGATATAAAGAGAGTAAAAGACCAAAGCATCCAAGACATTTAGATTTTGAAATAAATCTGGATGAAATTGATTTCTTATTGAGAGAGATAAAAGAAAAGAAAAATCGTTGTATTATATTTGGCACAATCATCAAATAGAATTACTGGAATGTTGTAAAATTTGGTTCATTGATGCAACTTTTAAAGTTGTTACCCAAAATGTCCTGGGCCGAAATGTCACTGCACCTCCTATCATCATGGCATTACATGACAACTTCTTTGTTACAAATTGTACAGGCCATGTTGTAGTCTTCTTAATAATCTTTTTAATGATATTTATTTTAATACTAAATATCAATCTTAGAGTAATAAATAACAACTATATTCAATTTATACCAGTTTTCTTTGAATAATTTATGTTCTTGAAAGTACTACCTTTACTTTGAACAAAGTGTTTAATCTATATGGCTTTTTTTTAAATAAAATACTTAAGCAAGAAATGGTATCAAACCACAGTAGATAATTCATAATAGAAGGTTGCCTAATAACCAAATTAGAATTCAACAGAAGAGTGTAGAAGGGTTACTTTATCTGTGGTTGTTTCCACGTGATCTTTTTTCAATAATTAAATTGAGATGCCACCACTTGGGCCAGAACAGTGAGTGTTTAAATACTTTAAGGTTTTCCCAAGGTATTCAATCATGGGTCTGGGAGAAAACAGACTTTTCTTTAATACTTTTTTTGTTATCCTTTTTAATAAAGAATATTTGATTGGAAAATAGAGAGATAAATACAGATCAACTACTGGATGGAACATGATCAATCTACACCCAATAGGTTTTTATATAAACTCTCTTTATTTCACTTTGGATTGTCTTCTCTCCTATCAGGTTTTCCTTCTCTTTTGTTCTCACAGATATACTGGAGTGAAGATCTTTGGATATTCAAGTCTACCTCAAGTTCTTTGTAGAAATTAGAGAAAATTGAATAAATATCTTGATATTTTTGTCCAAGGCTGTATAATATATTATTATAACAGATGGAGCCACAATCGAATTGGTAAATGAACAAAAAAACATTGAAAAGACACATCTGTAACATTCAGAAATAATGACATGGTGCAGTAATATTATTCTTACTTTTTGGTCTATATTCATCCTCCCTCAATTCTACATCTCTCTTCTAAGTGGCTAACTCCTGGTTCGGTTCTATTTGGACCAGTTACTTACCTACAACCCCAGCAGGAAAGTACAATAAGAAATAATAGATTTATCAATTTACAATCACATCAATTGTGGAAAAGCAAATATAGTGAATGAACTTGACATAATGCTATGTACTAGACAACCTATATACTTTATTTTGCAAATATCTCCTTTCTTTAACTTTATATTATGATATTGTGCTCAGTGTTACCTTCCTGAAATCCACTTCCAAAATTAATATAATATAGACTAGCTTCTGTAGGTCTAAAAATCTTTTTATCTTCTGAAAAAGCGAAACCTCTATTTATAAATATGGTATTTAGAGGTAAAAAACCTGAAGAACTCTGTCTTATACTCTGAGCAGCACTAACAAAACTATTACTTTCATATCTAAAACCCAACCAGGACGTATCCTTTCCACCATTGCTGCCAATCGAATACTGTGCAATCAATCTCTAAAGAAAATCTCTGATGCCAAAATTCAATTTAAATCAGCATCTATGCTATTTGGTGTGACATTAATATTCATTATTCGTTGGATAGCAGTATTTCTTTCATTTTATAATTTTAATATAATATTTTATATCTAATTATTTTTATGTTATACTCCTTTCTGAGATGGCTGGGACATTTTTTATGGTGATCTTTTATCATAATCTCAACAAATGTCTAACTTTCTCTTTGTTTAGCTGTCATTAACTGCCAAACATAGTTTTTCTCAAATTGTGAAAAAAGTACATTTGTTGACAATAGTTTGGATTGTTGTTTAAAGTCTAAAGTTCATCTTAATATTAACAAGTATCCACTCAGAGACAGTCTTGTAGCAATCAATCATCTAGCAGTTAATGATGACAATAAACAACTAATGATAAGATATATTCCAATTTTGTTACTTACTCTTCAAGAAGCACTATAATTCATTGGAACAAGAATCAGCTGTAGAGTGTCTTGAATCTCAAAGAGGAGACAACCATCAACAAGAGGACATCTTAGCAGCAAGAAAAAATGCTGAAACATAATAAACAATAAAAATACCAATTTGAACAATTTTGACGTCATAGGAACTGTGTTAAAATTACTTAATAGATTATGAAATAAACTGGACCATAAGCAAATTTTCGCCGTCAAAAAATTCACATGTTTAAAACTTTTTATCCTTTATAATATTTACTTATTATCATATATGTAGGTGTAACCACTCTGCCAAAATCTTTAAAATATGACCGAATGGTCAATAGGCCTATTTAAAATTAAAACTCAATATTTTCCCGTACTGTATTAGTTAACTTTTTCAGGCTAAGATGTTAGGCCTTTCTCAACTTTCTAACTCTGTCAATATCGTATTTATATTTAAAGATTCAGAGAGACAGAACAGTTGGAGTATTTAACAAATTTGAAAGAGTTTTGTCTTCTCTTCAATGATAACGATCATTTGAAAATGGAAGGAGTGCAGGCAACAGGAAGAAACAATTAAATGGGAGAAAAAGAAGAAGAAGAAGAAGAAGACTATGACATAGATGGAAATGATTATTATGATAGAGCTAACAGAATTGAAAATTAGGATCACACCATTTCTTATTACTGACTCCAACATTGCATATATGTTGAAAGGTGAACGTATGATGTTTAGACCTCAAAGAGAAATCGTCATTTCTTTGAATGACACTTGCAGGACATTTCATTTTTCTTACTTTTAATTCCACATCTCCAAATTATGGAGTGACCATTAGATAAAAGTAATTCTTTGCCTTTTTGACTTCCAGTAGTGAATATTGTGAATTTATCATTGCTAAAACCCTTAATTAATGATGACCTTAATTGGTTCTCTCTTTTAAATAGGAGAAACTATGCTAATACATCATACAAAGACAGGTGGTCATCCAATTGAATATACCCAACAGAAATACAATGAATGTACAACAAAGCATCTAGAGCTCAAGTTTCTGGTAAAAAAATTAATATTTAAAAAGCAAAATAAAACTATTCGAATTTGGTTTTAAATAAACAAAACTACATTAGCCTCAATGCAATAGGTTTTTATATTTTATATTTTGTGCTATTACACGTTTTCTGAAGTTGCTTTATCAGGTTGACTAGGCCTATATTTTCCAAATCGTTATAAATATCCGTCAGCTGTTGACCAATCTTGATCAGATTTGAAGGTGAATTGTTAAAGAGACCATTTTTCAATAAGAAATCTTTGCCAATCTCTATTGATTTGTAATAGAACTCTGAAGGAAGGAGAAGAAGAGACGCTACTAGGCTTTCATATTTTTCAATAGTCAATTTAGGCGTAAAAGTATACATTGCTATTCTATTGTTGAATTCTGTTAAGTCTTTGGAATTGATTATATTGCAAACAACCAATTTTAAACCACTAGTAGGCCTTTCTAATTCTACTCGCAATTCTTTTATTTCCGGTAGTAGTTTCAATACCTCATTTTTATGCTCAGTTAGGAATGTAATTATTTTTTCGACAGTTCCAACATTATTACATTTTGGTCTGTTAAAGATGTCAGCTTTACTGAAGTACTCAGCTATTTCGAAGCCATGTTCGTAAGCTTCCACTACTTTGTTTATATCTGCTCGATTTTCTAGCACACTATATGCTGCAATAATGAAGTTTTCCAGACTTTGACGAGATATTGACAAATTTTTAGGACATTTTTCTAGAAAGAACAAACGAACGAAGAATAAATAAATGAATAAATAAGTTACTACACATTACCTATTATTGCTCTAGCAATATATCTAATTCGTTCATTATCTTCCAATTGATTGTTTGTTTGAAAAAGATAAGAAAATATATGAGATTCGTGTAGATTATACAACCAATCAGAGCCATGTTTTGAAGACATTGCATTGACTAGTCTAGCAATTTTCTCATCTTCTTCCCTCAAAGGCTTCCCTCCACTAGCTACGTTAACGACATCCTCGTCATCTTCTATTGGAGACATTCCACTTACAAGTTTATCAATTTCCTCATCACTTCCCGCCATATTAAAAGGGTTTTTTCCAACGAAATATTCACTAAAATATTTGAAGAAATCTTTCAGCTCTCTAACATGTTTTAAATAATAGTTAGTGGCTAGATATTGTTCGAAAGCGGCATGTTGCCTCTCAAACATGAAAGACAATTCAATGACGGATTTACTACCAATGAAATATTTTCTAATTCCCTGACACATCTCAAACAACGTCTTGGCGTTAAGAATTGTACAAACAGCTTCAGATAATTCCTCATGGTCTTTTAACAAGTCAAAATCAATAATAAATGAAATAGACGCAATTGTCATTTCATAAGTTTGTTTGTCCATAGCAAAAGGTAATTCATTGAAAATAAAATTTAAAATTTTATAGGCCAATTTAGAACATGTTTCATTATTTACAGGTGAAAATATTGCTAATTTTGTACTATTTGAATTTACCTTTAAAACAAGCAATGATAGAGAAAATGTTAGAAAAAAGATGACTTTCATTTTGTAATGATGAATAGAAAATACACTATTTTCTTTTATATTATCCGTTGTCAAACAGTTTATAACAATTCAATATAATTTAGGCTGTTTTAGATAAATTACTTGTCCAATTTCCCAATCAATTTCCTGTTGTCAGCCTGTTAAAACTGCTAAAATTAACATAAGCATTGTAAGTGTCAGGAAATAGGGTTGAAGATAAAAAATGCTACATGTAAAAACATTACTTGAGGAGAAGAAGAGTAGGATTATTTTGTTAATGGTTTTGTGTTTTTGCAGTTGTTAAGACTATAGTTAATGCGTGTTTACAAGCATTACAATGTGTACTCTATGATAATTGGATTGAGTCAGATGACACATATTAATCCAAATAATCACAAAATGATCCTTAAGTTGATTCGAGTTAAAAAGGCAAAATATAAATGTCATTTTTAAAAATTTTAAACTGCTTAAACATAATGAATATAATACAGTTGCATATTTCAAAAACTGATTTATAAATCTACATTATAATATATCTATTGGTTTAAAAAATTAACAAATTTAAGTGTATGTTTAAGTTCAAATGTTCAATTTCAATAGTTTATTATGTTAAGCTCTAAATTATGAATATATTTACTTTTATGAAAATTTTTGGGATGTGGTAGAAAACGACCATAAATCTATGGTATTTACCCTAACCCTAACCCAGCCCTTGTTTTTGCCTAACCCTTTTTGAATACCGCTAACCCTTAGATGGGACCCTCCTAAGAACATATCAACAGTTATCTTATTCCTCCTAACCATTTCCCAGGCTGAAATCTAACTTTCAAATATTTCATTTATGGCTGTTTTCGACCAGTCCCAAATTTTTCCTTAATTCATAGTAGTATTTTATAGAATTCATTTAGATAATACAATGTAGATTGATTCCTGAAAAATTTATATCTCAAGAATTAACAAGAAATGTATTCATTTTGAATGTAATTTATCTGATTGATTAAATATATTTCAAAAAATTAACATGTCTTAGAATATATTTTCAGTTACAGATTAATTTGAATCTTTCTCTTTCTCTTTCCTTGTTATGCCAAAAAACAACTAGGAATGACAATACACCAATACAGACTGACTACTGATAGAATATATATTCTTTGGCCGAAATACTGGTGTTTCGTTGAATTATTTCTACCTAAATTACATTTGTTAAGACTATTTGTGGACGAACTTGAAAGGCTCTATGTGGTGTGAGTACTTTGGTAAGTTGATAAATGATTGGAAAGGACAAATACTGTTCAAAAGAAGCAGACATTCCTGCTATTACAATACAACAAAGTACAAAATTTTTTGAAACAATTTTTCTCTGGGAAATTGTTTTAAATGTCGATTTTGGTGTATTTTTTCTTTGACTGCTTCCCAAATTCAATTGGGACTCTTGAAGTGTGAGAATCCTGTTTCTCTTTTTTGATTTAGTCAAAAAAAACCTTTTGCAAACCCTAACCCTAACCCTAATCACTCTGGTGGCGATTAGACTGTGGCCTTTCAGTCTCACTTGATAAAGGGACAATTAGTCCCAAAATATTGTGAGTGATTTTAATTGGTGACATTGTTATTTATTGCAGCACAGGTTCTCTTTGCCCTTGTTGAGAATTTGTGATTGTGTTTTTGTTGGAGATACAGTAACAGCTTAGGCTGGGGAACTTCTGCTCAAGATAGCAACTCCTCAATAGCTACACAAACCCTTAGCCAAATCTTGGTTACAAGTGTGTGTGAAATTTTGGGATTGCCAGGCTCTTCTGATTGTGCTAATCCCTAACCCCAAGTCCTAATCCATACCATTATGGAATCTCTTGAAACTTCGGTGGAAGTTATTCAATTTTCATCAGAACTTAGATCTCAGTATCTAGTTTAACATTCTAATAACCCTAACCCTGACAATAATCAGAAACTAACCTGGAAGTGTTTTGTGTGTGGCCTCAAACCCACCCAACCAAACATAAACCATAACCTAACCTAACCCTGAAAATTTTATGGCAAGCTGTTTTTATGATAAAATAATACATTATTGATTAAACCTTGTTATTGATATCAAACTTTTAAAGTTCTCAGAAGAATTTTATTATTTTTCAAATGCTCTGCCCTGTATAATTTCTCTTTTAAAAAAAATATGCAATTAAAGAAGATTATTTGTAGTTGAAAATTTTTAGACAAAAGATGGGTTGAAAAGATAATTAAAACAAGTATACCAGTCTAAAGTATTAGTTAGGAATATTAAACATTAGAGACAAAGGTTGAGAGATTGGGAAAAGTAGATTCACAAAATTATGGATGTGTTTACAAAAACATATTTTGATATTTTAAAAGGTTTTAAAACGTTATCCACATTAATCAGCCAACATTCTTCTTTGTTTCTTTCAACTTTTTCTCCCTTCATTAACTTGTTATCAATGTCAATTGAAATGAACTTTGATCCCATGTTACCATCTGATTGAACTTTAGAGTGAAATTTATATTTCTTTTTCCCAATATTACCAATAAGTCCATTCATTTCTTTATAGTCTTTAGGTGACAGTTTAAATCTTGCATCCAAGTGAATTTCTGATAGAGAATGTATAGATTTCTGTATTTTAATTGTTTTTCCAGGTTGTAGAAAGGATGTTATCAATATAGTATTTCCAGTAATTAAATATTCAAAACATTTAGATTTAAAGGTGATCTCTTGCATATTCCAGTTTATTTGTTGTCCATTGTCAATAATAATAAAGTTAGTTAAAGCAGATATTTTACCACAATCAGATTTTATATAAATCCTATGAATGTAATAATCATCCTTAAGCTGACCATAAACTTGAATTCCATTTGAACTAAAGCCAGCAATATGTAAATAATCTCCAGGTGAGCCAGTAACATCATAGCATACAGACTCAGTCTTTAGACTTATATTATCTAGAACAATTTGTTTAAAGTGTGGATCACCTGATGCAGAAGTCCAGGGATCACTATTTGGAGAAAAAAATGGAACATCAAGACTTATCGCAAAAGAGTCAGGTGTTTGGCAAGTTACTCCCATCAATACTGATTTTGTGGAGCCAACTTTAGTTGCATAAACAGAGCCATGAGTTCTTGAAGGAAAAATTTGTTCAGGTCTATCTAATGTTGCTTTATCAGCAATATCATATTCCTGCTGAAGAGAAATTACAAAAATGTAATTGTTTTATACAAACAAACAAAAAAGATAAGAAGAAACAATGAAAAAAAAAATTAGTCTGCTCTCCATTTCTTCTTTTTGGAATTTTCCTCTTCAAACACACAATATATATTTATATGTTTAAGTGATCAAAGACTTGTTTTTAAAATTGTGTGGTTCTTTTTTTAGCAAACAATAGGCTTTAATACAAATTTAATGAATGTTCTTAAATGATTTAGTTCAAATTGAAATCAAAAAAAGAATTTAGTAAAATCAGACAATCATTTCTTGTATATATTTAAAATGATTAATCAAAACTTTGTGTATGGAAAGACAGGAGTTTTATTATATATGACTGTCAAAGGGTTTAATGACTCTGAGAAACTGCTTTTTGAAAAGAAGTATGTCAAGTATTTTGAAAAAAGAATACAGTGATTTACACAGAAAAAAAGGTGGAAGTCTCATTTTTTTGGATTCATATTATCTTTTTAGATGATAAAATAATGTTAAAACAGTGATGGTTTATGTATTCTGGTTCTTACATCAACCTTCTATTCATATTTTTGCAAGTGGTGAGCATACTAAAATTTCAATATACAATTTAACCACTCTTACATTGATAACAAGTAGCAGTAACAGCTGTCCTCAGAAATGACCCTGATGAGTCTTTGCAAAGGAGAAGACGAAACCGTGGTAGGTCAACTATGCTTAGTAACCAACAACACAATTTCATCAATCAGTTGCAGATAGTCTTACTTGTACAGATTGTTCTTACTCTTGCATTCTATACCATCATGGAATCTCATGAAATTTTGGCGGAAGTTATTCAACTTGCATGAGAACTTAGATCTTAGTATCTAGTTCAATATTATAATAACCCTAACCCTTAGATGGGACTCTGCCAAGTACATATCAATAGTTATCTTACTCCTCCTAACCATTTCCCATCCTGAAATCAAACTTTCAAAAATTTCAGTTATGGCCATTTTCAACTAGGCCCCAAAATATTAATAGTAAATCTTGACAATTGCTCTAAAATTCAATTTCATATTTTAGTGATGACGCACGATCTCTCATCAATGAATGCTTGATTTGAATAATAAATCATGCTCTAGGTAATATAAAAATAAAATAGACACCAGATGACACCTCTATCCATCTATTACAGAGGATGTTTGTAAAGCGTGATAGATGTTTTTGAAACAAAAAAAGACTAAATTAATTTTCAGTTATTGTCTTAGTCTGGAATGAAAGGTCATCCAAATTCTAGAAATATGTTATAGAGTTAGAGAACTGTTAGTCATGTGTAGATTGATATTCAGATATAGGTTTATGTGAAATATTAGAAATTTTCAATTCATTTTTGTATACTATTTCTATTAGATTATTTAGTTCAATCGGTGTTAAAATACCAATCATCTGTTCAATTTTTGCCATAAAATTAACAGCACAGGAAAGACTAACTAACTCTCATTCAGTTATGAGATTATTCAGTCTTCTTCTCCTATTGGATACAAATATTTTTTATCAATAACTAATTTTGTATTTGCAAAATTTGCCTTGATTGTATCCCATTGAATCAATTTTTGATAATATCACCTTTGAAGATGAGTTTGATTTAGCAAAATCTTGGAAAATTTATGAATATATGCTCCCTTTGTGCACTTTGGAATTATAATATAAAGACTTTAAATAGATCTTATTTTAAAGGAATTAGAATAGTGAAACATTAGAAAAAAACTACTTTTTGATGGAATTAATAACCCAAACCTAAGAAAGACCTTATTTAGTGGAATTAGATGCTTTGAATTATAGAAAGGCTTTTAGTTCACACAAATTCTCTGAACAAAACAGATGTTGCCACAGTGGTATAAACAATGGAACAAAGAACTGATGCAAGAAAAATCTTTGCAAGTAGAATTCATTTAGATGTTTTTTTGTATCTTTTGTTAATAGAAACTGGTTGAGATAATTTAATTCTTTTTTGAATTCTATTGATAAAAGAATAGAAAATTTGAACAAAATACTTTATTTTTTCTACTTATAATCTTTTAGCAAGTGACGTATATTTGCCAATCACCAACACAATTTATTTGTGAATAGGCAATACTTGAATATTTTTGAACATCTTCTTTAATCTATAAGTAAATTTGCAAAACAATCAGAAAAAAAAATTAATAATCATATTAAAAAATGTTGAATGAAAATTTGATTTTATATAATATTTTGTCACATAGTTTATTACTGTTTAGAGGTGACCTTGGTTGATGCAAATGCTGATTTATATATTTAAGGTGTCTTTTTGCCTATGAAAAGAAGAATGGATAGAGAATTTCGAAAAGAAAATATAAATAAATAATACTAATAAATTATGTGTGGCCTCACATTGTGTAAGCATGACCCTATACAAAAGTAGGTCAAGCGTGCTTACTTCAATCAGTGCTATGAGTACTATTAGTCTGTCAATATACCTATCTATTGTAGATTAGTGCTGACAAATTTACAATAGAAAAACATTGTATTTACTTATAAATATGCAATCTACAGAATTATCTTTTATTAAAAAAATAGGCCAATTTACAATTTTCAAAAAATGAATTGGCCTATTTTTTCTCAAAAACAGATAAAAAGGTTATGGTATGAGCATTTAGTACTTTGACAGCAATCAAAGGTGTACTTCCATATTAAAAGAAGGTTAGTAAAACTACTCAAAATTTAGTTTTATTCTAAATTAATGATATCATAATTATTTGTTTTTTTAAAAATTTTAGGAGAAAAGAGAAAAACAAAATGGCTAAAAGTTTGTTTCCTTTTTTTATTTTCTCAATGGTTCTGTTACATTAACTGGTAATTAAAGATTAATATTTTATTTAGATTCAACAAAGTTTGGAAAGAAATTTCTTAGGCCAACAATTCTTGATGAAATTCATAAAATTTTTAAAAAATATCCATATGATGGCGGTATTTTAAAGGTAAATTTCAATAAATTTTGTCTCTCGTTTTTAACTTAAAATAGTATTCTATTAATTTCAGGAAATGATTCAGAATGCTGAAGATGCTGGAGCTAAAAATGTTAGCTTTATTTTTGATTGTAGAACATTTGAACAAAAATCAAACTACGAAACTGATGGACAAGCTTCACTTCAACAACTTCATTCCATTGTTTCTTTTAATGATGCTTGTGTTACTGAAGAAGATTGGAAAGGCATACAATCAATTGGTATTAGTAATAAGGATAAAAAAGCTTATAAAGTTGGTAGATTTGGTTTAGGAATGAAATCACTTTTTCATTTAACAGGTTTGACTCATTTTTAATCTCTCTTTATATAAAGTATTGATATATATAATCTGCAGACTGTATACAAATTATAAGCGGAGAAGATGTTGTATATCTTGATCCTTTATGCCAGCATTTTGACAATGAAATTCATCATTATAATCTTCAAGAAATGCTTTCCAAATGTCCTGAAAAGAGGAGGGAGTTGGAGGAAGCTACCAAATTAGTAGCTGATTATGATATTAAATATGATCAAAATTATCCTTTTACAATGTTTCGTTTACCATTAAGAAATCAACCATCTGAAGTATGCAATCAAGTTCTTTGTGATTCAGATGTTTATGATTTATTTGATCAGTTTATCAAAGATGGATCCAATAATTTATTGTTTCTTAAACATCTTCAATCCATCAAGCTGTATCAACTTTCAGATTCTGGATCAGAACTACTTAGTAGTATAGAAATTGAGTTATCTGAAAATATTGAAGAGCAAAGATCAATTTATAGAGAAGGCCTGGAAAATTCCAAATCATTTCAAATATGCTATGATCCATGTTTCATCATTCGAAATGGAGAAAAAATGAAAATTGAGAAATATCTAGTTGTAATTCAACAAAATTTTGATAATTGTGAAATTAAAACACTATCAGAAAAACTTCACTATCAGCCTTGTATGGGTTTAGCTGCTCCTCTTGATAATTCACTTTTAGATAAAGGATCATTATTCACCTTTCTTCCATTTAGTATAAATGTAAAATTTCCTATTCATATTCATGGTTATTTCGCTTTAAACGATAGTAGATCTGGTCTACAATTCTCAAAGACAATGAATGATGATGATTCCCAGTGGAATATTTTAATACTTAAAAATCTATTACCAAATGTTTACAATCAATTATTTATTTCTTTATCAAAATTTAAATCAGTCGATGAAATTGTTAAATTCTTTCCACCGAAATCTTTGAATGACCCTTTCTGGTCAATATGTTCAAATGAAATAAGCTCTGTGCTGCTTGATTGTGAATTCGTATCGGGATCATTGAAAAAAACACAACCAAAAGATACTAAATTTATTGTTGATGGCCACTACGCTAAATTCAAAATTGAAATTCTGAAAGTGTCAAATATAAATTTTGTTGTTCTTAAAAGAGAAACTCTACAGATATTGCAAACTTTTTTTACAGATTGTTTCGAACATGAAGTTGAAATAAGAAATGTAATTCTTTACTTACAGGAAAAGAAATCTTGGAAAACTATTATTTCAACTGAAACAAAGCTTGGAATTCTTGAATATCTGTTAGAATCAAATTTAGATGTCTCAAATATGGAACTTATTCCCATAGAACATCCAGAATGTAAGATATCTTTCAGGACATTTGACAGTAGTTGTTATTGTAGTGACATCTATTATCCATCAAACAACTTGAATGTAATATTGAATGGCATGGGAATTGATTTTATTGCCAGAAATTCTTTAACAGATAAATGTAAAGGACTAATTGAAAAAATGGCCTTAAAACAGATGTTTCAACTAACGGTAATGGAACTGTCTACCTTTCTATCACATGTAGAGAAAGTGACTCTTAAAGAAAACTTTCAAAATTCTGATTGGCTTAAAATATTCATCAACTATATATTAAATGAAAATGCTAGTATCATTGCAGGAAAATTTGATCATCTGCCTCTGTTAAGACTAACAACAAATGGAAAAGATTATAAGAGCTTCCCAGTGAAAAATCTTCCAGCAATTTTTGACAAACAAGTAAAAAAGAAAGACGAAAAAAAGATTTTACAAACATTTGGTATGATTTTGGTTAGAAATGTTTCAAAGGTATCTGCACCTTTTTTAACCATAAGAGAATCAAATAACAAGCATATAATATTCAATAATGTTTGTGAAGAATTATTTCAAAATCTATTCTCCAGTGATTTTTTAAACACTGGTCAGCATTTATCAAATTTATTTGATCAAATGGAATATCCAACTGCAATGGATTTATTAAACTATCTTCATTTAAATGTTAAAAGTATTGAAAGATTATCTGCAAAGGTTCAAACTCATTGGAAAGAACTAAAAATTTTTCCCTTATGCTCTAGTAGGTCACATGTTTCATCTACAATAACAGAACAATTTATAAATTCGATCCCCTTTCCCTACAAAGGGAACATAATTAAAAAATGTAATCAAGTTGAAAGACTTAAATATGTTTTTGGGCTTGAAGAGACAACCATAGATGACCTACTTTTCAATAAGGTACTTCCCAGCATTCCTGGCAAATATGGAACAATGGAAATTGTTCAAATTATACAATACACTCTTCAAAATTATCATATTAATTTATTGAGGAACTATTTTAAGAAACAGTAGAGTATTTCCAGCAGCAAATTCTACATGTAAATTATTAGATGAACTGTACAGCTTTGATAAATCATTTCCTTATAAACTGAGAGAGGAAATGACATTATCCAAATATTTTTTACATCCCAGTTTAAGTAAATTTGAAAATGATCTATGTAAAATTGGTTTAAAGTCAACTCTAAGTGAAGAAATTTTGATTAAATTTTTTGAATATGTTATTAGAAATAATGACTTTGCTTTAAGTAGAATTCTTCAAAATTACATCATTGAAAAGAATATAACAATTCAATCAGAATTGAAGTGGATAAGCAATATTGAAAGTCATCTTAAAGTGTATCCAAATGGGATTGATTGGTTTGGTAAAAAGAAATGTTTATACGATCGACATTCCGTTTTTAGTGACAATCTGTCATTGTTGGTTGGAGGTGTACAACCAGTTATTCCTAACAAACTGTATCATTTGTTAAAATGTGATTCCACATTGTCAAAGGGTATTGTAAAAAACCAATTTTGGAATATTCAGTCACAAATACATCGAGTAAGTGGTAAAGATATGGAAAAAGCTGAAAGAATAATTAAAATGCTTTATAATCAAATCAATTTGTATGAAGATTGGGTGTCCGAATTCAAAAATCAACAATGTGCCTGGACAGGAAAAGAGTTTGTTCATCCTTCAAAAATCATTCTTAATAATAGAAATATTCAAATAGAACCTTATAGATTCTATCTTCCTAATAACTTTATAGAATTTAAAGAGTTCTATTCAAAATGTGGAGCCAAAGAAGACATGGATTGTATAAATGTAAGTTTCCACATCTTTTACATATTAATATGTGTCTAAAATTTTTTTTGTACAACCTTAAATTAGGTGCTGTTGGAAATTAGTGTAAACCCTCCTTCAACCTGTAAAAATGGTATTAGCATATGTTCAGATATTTTGAACTCTATTCAAGATGCTAATTCTCATGAATTAAAGAATATAATGATTCCAGTAGAAAGAACAAATTCATCTACCTTTTCTATGAAACCACTGAGCATGTGTACCCAAGCAGCTGCTTCACGATTTACTGGAAAAGATGACGATTGCTATATCATTGAATTTGATGAGAATAGATTCAGTTATATAATTCATAATCAACTAACACTTAGCCAGGATACAATAAAAATCCTGGATATTCGGACCATTAATGAATCGTTATTGGAATTTGAAGATTGGACTCAATCTGAAAATTTATGTCGTAGATTGAAACAATTGATTTCAGAATACAAAGATGGAATTGGTCCAATTAAAGAGCTTATACAAAATGCTGATGATGCTAGAGCAACAACAGTCAAAATTCTGTTGGATGAAAGATCTTCATCGGTTGAAGACGAAAGTAAATATTTCATTGGTCCATCCATTTGGGTCTACAATGATGGATTATTCAGTGAAAGTGATTTTGATGCAATAAAATCTATTAATTCTGGTCATAAAGAGTTAAAAAAGTCAACAATTGGAAAATTTGGTATTGGATTTAATTCTGTATATCATTACACAGAAACACCATCATTTATATCGGGTAACAGCTACGTTAGATTTGATCCCCATGCTCAATACTCTGGAAGCCTTTCAAAGCAACAAAGAGGAGGTTATCGAATAAAATTGAATGAATCCAAATTAAAACCATTAAAGAGATTATTGTCACCTTTCGAAGGAATATTTAATTGTAAAGTACCATCTGAATCTAGGTTTGATGGAACGCTATACAAGCTTCAATTGAGGAGTGACGAACAAGCTTTTAAATCTTTAATTTCTAAAAACTCCTACAATTCCGAAGATATAAAAGAATTAATAAACATTGTACTTGAATTATCCAGTGATCTTCTCATATTTACTCAATGTATATGCGAATTTCAAATGTTTCATATAAATTCTTCAGGAGACCAAAAGGAAATTATTAGTGTGAAAAAAACACTTCACGATGCACTTGATGCCAAATCTCTTCAAATTGAAAATATACCAAAATGTTTAAAGGAACAGGAAGAATATATAAAAGTAATACAACATACAAGTATCCTATTTGATCCCAATGAATCACAGACAGTTGTTATTATAAAAATAGATAAGAAGGTGGGTTCAGCTTTTCAATATTTGAATGATGGCTCCGAGATCAATCAATCGTATCTTTGGCTTATTGGACAAGTAAAAATTACAAATATGTTACAAGAATTGGAGAAAAGAGGAAATATAGCTATTGGAGGAGTTGCAATGAGTTTAACAAAGAATATTTCGCGCAATAATTCTTTATTTTGTTTCCTTCCACTTCCAATTTCTTCGCATCTTCCTTTTCATTTGAATGGGTCATTTGCAGTATCTCATGACCGAAGAAACATTATTAGAGATAGTAAAGGAGATAAACATTTACTTGAACACGAATGGAACAGTTTACTCTTTGAAAGAGTAATTACATCAGCTCTTATAGATACCTTTTTTGCACTGAGAACAATCATTGGGAATGATGAATGTTACTGGTACAGTCTATTCCCAACATTAAATAGTTCTACTGATCAATTCATTGAAAAGCTCATAAAAAATTTTTATAGAGAAATGATTAAATCTTCTAATCATTGGTTTATGTATCAGATGAAATGGTTTGAGTCAAACAATATACTATTCTTAAGCGAGGAACTTTATAAAATGGAACAATTTGAAAATATTGATATACATTCTATTGCATTTGATCTTTTTCAATTGCCATTTCCTAAAATACCTTCAAATTTACGAAATACTATTGAAGAATGCGAGAAAGATTTTTTTAGGAAAAGAATAATTGATACTGAAACATTTTATTCAAATATTGTTGCGAGGAGCGATTCGATTAATTGCCAACATTTTGATTTAATCATTAGAAATGGACTTAAACTTTTCCATTCAAAGATAAATCATATATTGAAACAAGCAAAGTGTATTAGAACAAAACCAAATGGCGTTTTAAAATTACCTGGAGAAGTTGTTTTTGAAAATTCTAAATTATCATCTCTCTTCGATTTTGAAGAGAATCGATTTTGTGAATGGAACAAAGAAGATATTGAGAGTTTGAAAAATGAACTTTCTTCCATTGGGATGATATCTTCTCAATTGACTGTACAACAGATTATTGAAAGGTGCAAGGTACTTGAAAAGCATAGAAAAGATAAGAACTTTATTGATAGAGGACATTTGATATGTTCAGTTATTGAAGAAATGACTGCCTCGGGGACAAATATGTTGGATGAACAACTTGAAAATCTAAGCAATATTTCATTCATACCAATAAAAGTAAAACCAGAAAATTGGATATTAGACTGGCATGATGATGGTGTCACTTATTTATATTCTCCTAAGGCAACTAGAAAATGTGATTTTCGATTGGTAGCCTTTGTAAAACCATCTGTTAATAACTTAAGGAAATCATTATCAATCATATGGAAAGTTTTCAATATTAAAGAGCCAACTACTGAAGAAGTGTTGGATAATGTCAAGATTCTTCAAAATATAATTTTTCTGAACAAGTAAAGCTAGTATACAAAAAGATTATTACTTTTTTGAGTTGGAGAGACTTTAATCCAACAGCTTTCCCACTTCTTGTTCACAGTATGGACAGTTATAAATTTGAAACAGATCATTCAATATGCTACCAGGCCAATATTACTACTAGGCTTGAACCATTTATGTTTAGATGTGTGGAAGACGTCTTTACTACTGATTTCTTAGATATTCTCCATGTAAAAAGAGTACCTACATTTGATGATTTCATTCAAATTCTAAGTAAAATCAAGGAGAAAACTGATGAGAATAGTACCTCAAATTGTGATAATGAAGTTAATATGACAGTTTTAATCCTTTATCACTTAATGGATTGTCATGAAATGTTACAACTCTATCTAAAGGATAATAACAATCATCTGTTCATTCCTAATACAAAAAATGTTTGGTTGAGCCATAGAGATTTATGTTTTTGCAATGTTGATTGGATTGATAAAAGTGACCTAAATATTTGCCATGAGAAAATTAGTATTGATCTAGCTATGAGGCTAGGAATTCAAAATAATCAGGATAAGTACATTCAAGCAAAATCTATTGGAATTGGAGAAGAATTTGGTCAATCAGAGGATTTAATCTGTCGTATTAAAACTCTTCTTCGAGCCTATCCAAATGATGGAACAATTATTAAGGAGATTATTCAGAATGCTGATGATGCTGGTGCTACTGAAATTCAATTTATTCTTGATGATAATGAATATGGAGATGAGAAAATATTTGGAGATTCTTGGAAACCTTTACAAAAGTGTCCAGCATTACTGGTTTATAACAATGGAAAATTTCAGAATGAAGATTTCAAAGGAATTCAAAAGTTAGGTGAAGGAAGTAAAAAAGCAGATGTGACTAAAGTTGGAGAATTTGGTGTTGGTTTTAATTGTGTATATCATTTAACTGATGTACCTATAATTGTTGCTAATCATGAGAAAAAAGGTCTAGTTTTTTGCGTATTTGATCCTCATCGTTCATACTTTCCAAACTCTGAAAATTTTTTTAAGCCAGGCCGAATGATACCTTTAGAAAGTATGAAATTATATTCAGATGTTTTACAGACAATACCCAAAGGATTTGATCTAAAAAATGGAGTCTTATTCAGGTTTCCACTAAGAGATAGTAGTATGGCTACAAAGTCAAAACTATCTGATAAACCATTGCTCTTTGACAAAGCAGAAGAAATGTTAAAAGAGCACTTTTGTAAAACCGCAAAAGAATGTTTCTTTTTCTTGAATAGTATTCAAAAGATTGAATTTAAAAAGAAAACTCATAATTCATACAAGATATTATCTTGTATATCAACTTCAAAGGAAATGTTTAGTGAGAATTACCAGCAAACTAGTTTCACTCAAGAAATGTATAATAAGCATCATTACAACCCAATTTCTTTATGTTATTATCTCAATATAAATGATTTAGAAGAAGATCAAAAATGGTTAATTTATCGTTCATATGGATTTAGAGAAAAGGATAATTTACCAAATGATTTTAATGATAAAAAGTATAATCCTGAAGCTGGTGTTGCTCTTCCAATCAAATTGGAAAAAGGAATTGAAATAAAGAAAAAGATATTCTGTCATCTACCTTTACCAATTGAAAGTTATATGCCTATTCATATAAATGGACGTTTTTATTTAGATCACGAAAATCGAAGAGGTATTCGACAAAATTTTGATTCAGATAACACAGAAGATATTGCAATTGAAGAGAAATGGAATTTGTACATTTTCACTGAACTAATAGGCTATTGTTATGCTAGAATTATTGAACAACTACAAATGTTAGTTGTGAAGAGAGAGTTGACTTTCTATGATTTTTATAACTTTTTCCCATTATTAAGAGAGAAAAATCCTTTATTAAATGGTTTATGCAAAGGCCTAATGAATAATTTAAGACAGAGTAAAATATTTGCTTTTAAATCTTCAAATTCATCAATTGAATGGTTGTCTTACAACGAACATAATGATAAATATCTTTTATATTTTAAAAGCCTATATTCAAATGATATTGTTGATATATTAAAAGATATTGGTATGAAAGTAACACAAGTACCTTCACAGTTAAAACAAATATTTAAAAAAGGTGATATGAATATTTATGATGTAAATCCAATGGAAACTGTCAAATTTTTATTATCTAAATATCATTGCATTGGCAAAGTTCCTCGTCATATCAACAAGACACCATTTAGGAATTTAGAACGGTTCCTAAAATTTATTGAATTTATTCCTGAAAAGTTTGACTTTGAGATGGAAAATGATCCACAGGGATTGCCTCTGTTTTTAAATGAAGAGAATGTATTAAATGTTTTTGATTCTGATGATTTGATAATAGCAACAGAATACCCTCTCCTGTTTCAAAATATGAAACGGAACGTTGTAAACAAGAATATCCTTAATACTGGGTTGGTTTCTAAACTTATAGAGACAGGAATAGTAGAAGAAGATACTGTAGAGTTGTTGGCTGAACATATAGAGTTTAATATTTTGGAAGAGCTTAAAAAATCAACACAGATTTTAGAATATCATAAAAAATACGAAGATTATATTACCAATTTCTGGAAATGGGTGAACAGCTACAGATATATTTATCATGAAGATTCAGAAGGATTAACTAATGTATTAAAGGATATTTTACATAAATTTTCAAATTATTCACTCCTACTGTACTGCTCTTGCTGGCAAAATCTATGCGTTTGCAAGTTATAACAATACTGGTTCTACTCGAACCTTTAAACAAATGTTTAAATTAAAATGGTTTATTCGCAATAATAATACTTAAGCAAGTAACAATATGAGAGTTCAATAGCAGAGTAGATAGTTTGTAATAGCAGGTTGCCAAATTACCAAACTGTCTTCCAATGTTGAGGAGTAGATGGAAGGTTCCAGTGGAGGTTGTTTCCAGATGATTTTCCCAGGTCCTTGGGTCCAGATGGAAGCTGCATGCCAAATGAGAATAATGAGGATTTATATACTTTGAGGTTTGTCTCTGACATCCAATCATCACTTTACAGTTGCCGAAATGTGTAGTTCATATTTATCTTTAGTAACAGGATGTTACAAGGTTCAACATTTAGGAAGGTTAATTGAATTATAACTTGGCCACACCCTAGGCAAGTTAATTAAATTATAACTTGGCCAAACCTTTATTGGTAATTAAAGATGAACCTTCAAGCTGACTAATCAGACTTATGTTTGGCCAATGTTATAGCATTTTCTTGCGTAGGTTTTAAGATGTACATGTATATGTTGCATAAAATAATAGAGTTCAAGCATGTAAAATATAACCAAAGTTGTACAACTTCCCCCTTCTTTGTGAAGATGAGTCCCTTCATCTTGATTTAATGAGAATTACAGGTGGTTGTTCTTCTTCATTAGTTTGATGTTGACTAAAGCTACAACTTTGTTTCATTAGTTTTGGGTTTTCAGGAGAGTTATCTGTGCTCTCACTTGGGGTAGCAATTTCTTCTCTTTGTTTTCTTCTTCCAATAATATAGTTGAAAATGATGATACATACCATTGACACTACAATACTCAAACAAATATTTCGTATGATAACATAAAGTGTTTTCCCAGGTTTATAGTACCAACTATGGAAAAACTTTTTAATTCCAGATAAATTGGGTACAATGCCATTTTTCTCTGCAACAGTGACCATGTTATCATACCTTGCCTGCTTCTGTTCCAGTGAACTGATAACTTGCTTAATTTTTGAGTGCTGGTATGCAATATCCTTCTTTACCCCATGGTGGAGTAGATCAGCTAATCTGGCAATTTCAATTTTTGGTTCAGAAAGGTGATTGTGGATATGTAACTGCATGGATTTTGCAGACACAGTGTGAAATCTGCATCCTCTTTCTGAATAATACACATACGTTTTGTCTTTCATTGGTTGGTTTCTTATAGGATTTAATGGGTTGTGAGTTGTTTTGTAGAATAACTTGTTAGACTTACACTCATTATAGGTAATCTCTTCAGGATTGACTTGCTGTAAAACATGAGTAACTGGTTCTACTTGGAAAAGCAGGTTGTTCATGGTGACAAGTAAAAATTGAGAACATTTGTTATTCTTTTTTATCATGCTTAAGTCACAAACTACTTCTGTTGAGGCTATTGGTGAACATTGTTTAATTATAGCTAATTCTCCCATCTGACTACTGTGCATTCCCAACTCATTTGTTAACACTGTGGTCAATTGAGGATCCAAATTTGCTAGTAATGCCATCATTCTGCTTCTTTGAACAAATTGATTGCAGAGAAGACTTGACAGCTGTTGGGTAAACTTTTTTAAATTCTTAAAATTTGAATCAATACCATGTAGTAAGGTAGATGTTTGGGCAGCTTCTCTCATTTCCAATGGGAATTTGTGGTATGGGTTTTTACTTATCTTATGTTTCAGTTTTGCTTCCTTCTTCATCTGCTTTTTAGCCATTCTCATGTGTAGAGTAAAATAAATTCCTTCATAGGTAATCTTGAATTCTCTGGCTGGTGGTCCTTTATACCATATGCCCAATGTTGGTAATACCTTCTTTTTGATTCTTTTCTCACTGTATACATATTTTGAAATCGTGACAGATTGTCTTGTTGCCCTTGTCCAATTGACTGCTTGCAGCATTTCTTGGATATAATAGTTATCCAGCTCCCAGTAAGATGGACTAATGGGTTGTTGTAGATGATATATCACAACTTCCTTGAGTGTGCCTTTATTTCTCATTAGTTTATACTTTGTGTTTGTTTCTCTGTACCATTGGTTAAGACTTGGTAAGGGGTTGTTTCGCTTGTATAGTATAATTTGTTCTTTAACTTTATTGGGATAGTTTAATAGTCGTTTTTCTTCATTTTTGCCAATCTTCTGATATTGTAGCAAATTGTATAGGTGTTCCTTGCTTGTTTCCTGTATTAAACTCTGTTCCTCCAGTGGTACTAGTACTTTTGTTCCAGGACCACCAATTCCATCAATAAACTTATCTTGATAAGGGATGTCCAGAATAGAATACCCTGGACAAGAATAGTGACCAGCAAATTTGATACAACTAATTCTGTTGCTAATTTTTATCCATGGTGATTGTTGCCCAAGTGTGTAATTATTCTTGAGGTTCCTAAAGACAATAATTGCCTCTTCTGTTTCACAATAGGACTGCCCTGGTAAACAATCTTCCAGGTAGTCCAGATTAGTTGTAATTTTCATATTAGGAGGTTGCCAATATGCTTTGCCAAACTGGATAATTGTGGTGTATTCCAGCACCTTGGTCGTTGTTGGCCATGTGTAGGCAGCAGGAAACTGATCTTGGTGGATCCAAGTGTTTCTTTTCACCATTAAAGGTTTTCCTTGAAAAGATCGTTTGTCTTTTATCATCTGTCTGCATTGATCATGAGTTACTTTGATAACTGAGTTAACAATCCTCCTCTTCTTTGCTCCAAAGAAATAGTAAGTGTAAAAATTAGTTCTTAGATACACTTGACATTTTACTGCTCTTGTTTCAATTTCTTCCAAGTTCAATTCATAGATATCAGCTGTAATTGTCTTGGTTTCTTGTGATTCTATATTACAAGTTGGCTCATCTGCTAGATCAAATGCCTGGCTTGGTAGTTGGTTAGAACAAAAGTATAACGGTGGTTTAAATGTTAAGGTAATGTTTGCACTTGTAACATGGGCACCTTGGTAGGATGGTTTTGGGACTGTTATTGAGTGGATGCAGCCACAGATCACCATTACAGTCATCACTAGTGGAAGCCACAACATCTGTTTCATGTTAGCTCTTCCTGTGTTGGCTATAGTTGAATGGTTGAAAATTTTGTGTTGTTGTTCCACTCTGATAGTTATTCCATCTTCTAACTCTATATATTGTGGTTCCACTTCTTGTTGGGAATCTAATTGTTCAGAGATGATTTTAGTCTCATCTAAAAATATGACTGACTCATTGTCTGTGTCACTTGTATTTTCTTTCTCATCTTGGGATGAATCTACCACTATGAGGGACTCATTATCTGAATGGGTTATGTCAATAATTTCACCTTCAATAATTATTGACTCATTATCCGAATGGGTTATATCAATAATTTCGCTTTCAATAATTATTGACTCATCGTCTGAACTAGATATTTCATCTTCTCTATCAGAGATAATGTTTGCCTCTGAATCTGTATTTTGATCCAGTTCATTATTTGTTTCTGTGTCATCACTTTCAGATGAGCTTGAAGGTTCATTGAGACTGTAATTACTGTCTGTTTTGAAAGTATTGCTTGTGTCATAACCAGTATCAGAATTAGTAACTTCCATCTCTGAGTCATCACTATCTGAACTTTCTGATGAAGAGTCATGCTGTCCCATCATGGCTATAGTGACTTTGTTTAGTTGAGGTTGCCTTATTCTTTCAGCCAGGTTCCCTTTCCTTCTATCAAATTTGAGAGAACACTGTTTAGCTTCAAAATTGAGGTTTGCTCCCACAGTTTGTAGGAAATCACAACCAAGTATTATTGCTATGTCTAGATTTTCCATAACTATAAATTCTTGTTCCATACTTTCTCCAGCAAATTGGATATTCAGCTTTACGCTTCCTTTTTGCTTTAAAGCTTTCCCATCAGCTGAAGTTATAATTGGTAAGCCAATTGTTTCTTTATCCATAATTGTAACATCCATTAACTTGATTTCTTTTTCAGTAATAAAGGATCTCAATGCTCCTGTGTCACACAGGCAATGACTTCTTGGCCTTTTTGATTCTTCAAACGGAATTGGAAGTCATTTCTTCCTTCTACCTGAGAAAGATATTGGAGGTGTGTTATTTCCTTCTCCACAAGGTGAAAGATTGTTGTTGCTTCTTTCCCTGTTTCCAACTTATTAGATTCATTGGCTAGTCTTAATCTGCTACCATGTACCAACTTGCATGTATTATCATCCATTTGTATTTCATATATCCACTTTTGATGATTGACTTTTGTTATTCGGTATGGGCCTAACCATTTTAAAGAAGGGATTTTTGTTATTGCAATTCTTGCAGCATCATTTCTTAAGAATACTTCATCATCAACCTCAAAATATTTTGGAAGATTGAGATTTCTATTCTTTCTTTCCCTATATTGTTCTTTTGCCATGATGGATTTACAGAAGGCTGTAGCTCTTAACTGTACTAATTGCTGCTGGTGATTGAATACAAATAGTACATTTGTTTCAGGAGAGGTAGTATGCATTGTTACATCAATCAGTGTTCTTGTGCTGGTGCCAAAAAGAAGTTCCTGGGGTGGTAGTCTTGTACTTCCTACAGGTGATTGATTCAAAAATGCTTGAATCAAGGGTAGGTTTGCAACCCAGTTATGCTGATTTTCTTCCACCACTAATTTATTGATTTCCTTCCTCACTTCTCTATTTCTTCGTTCAACTAGTCCATTGCTCTGGCTTCTATAAGCTGTTGTTTGGATTTTCTCAATACCTAATACCTTCATAAACTCTTTAAAAGCTTTACCAACAAAGTTTCTTCCTTGATCTGTCAACATTTGTTTTGGAATTCCAAAAATGGGAAAAAATCTGTTGAAAAGAAGGTTTGCAATTTCTTTACTGGTTTGCTGTTTGAGTGCATATAAAACTGTGTATCTACTGAAATGATCCACTATCACAAGTATGAATCTGTATGACTTAACCATGGGTAAGGGTCCCATTATATCCATGGCTACCAACTCCATTGGTGATGCAGGGTGAAAGGTTTCTACCAAAG